AACCATGACAACTTGACTCGACTCAAGCACGATCTTTCAAGAATGGCTATTGAAAAAATTACTTGTACTTGGGTCACCCGTTATATGTCCACTCCTCACTGCGGGAATCGTGGATACGTTGCCAGAATTAACAAGACAGCGATTTTCGTAGTTGCCACAATGCTACCGTAATAAGTGCAAATGAGATATAAGTAAGAAGTTGTTAATTCAGATAATAAAGATCAGTGTATATTTATTATATTGGCCCTATTATTTAAAAATTCAGTGATCGAAATAAAGAGTGAGTTACAAAGTAAAGGATTTATTGACAAATCTCAGAGAGCGTTTATCATAGAGAAGGTTCACGGCACGGAGAACGTAAAAATTGTTTTGGCTAACTCGGTCGAGATGAGAGAGTTTCACCACTGCCAGCTTGCCAGGAGAAATTTTAACATTTTCACTTGAACAGAGCTGAGCATGGATTAAAAAAATTTAATATATTACAATAGTGATAAACGTATGTACATTAATCGCACATTTTATCATTCAAAACTCATATTCACATGTATCATGACCATACATACATACATATGTGTTTATGTTCGCTTTCGCGAATTCAAATCATATTATCATTTATCAATAATAACAAGGGCGCGCTGCTCATATGTACAGCTGTGTTCATTGAAATAGCAGTGCAGATGACCTGTATGTTCTAGATGGACAAATTCTATTATAAAGATCAATATGATATAAAACTGTGTTGGAAGTGATAAATTATTAATTTTTACATGACCTAAAACTTAGTTTGTGCTAATTTATTCTATATTTTTAAGTATGAATGAATTATAAAATAAAAGCGCTAATTTGTGCTGTTCAGTGAAATAGCAGTGTTAACGAAAAATAATAAAAAAAAAATCAACATAACTCATTAATTAACTTTATTATACTAAATAATATTTTAGTATTGTCCTAATGCTTTGTTGTGTATCCTTTATTGGCAATTACAGCCTCGTATCTACGAAGCATGGAGTCAACCAAGTCTTGACAACGCTTAAGAGGCTTAGAAGACGGCGATTGCTTTGAAACAAAACGCTAGACGTCTCCCCATAAGTTCTCTATGGGGTTGAGATCTGGGGATTGAACCTACCATAGCATCAACACGATTTTTTCTTGGCTAAGCCAATTTTCTGGTGTCTTTTGGCAAACTCCAATCGCACTTTGATATCTTTGACTAAGTAAAGGCACCTTTCGTGATCTTCGCGCATTAAAATTTTCATTCATCAGTCGTGGTCGAATGGTTACGACACTGATCTCCAACTTCAAAGATGCAAAAGGATTGTTTTTGTTCTAAATTTATAGTTCTGCGTAAGGCGCCACGTTTTTCGGGCTTCAATTCATAATTTTTGGCATTGTATACCATCTGACAGAACATTTTAAACGACTTTGTATTTCTTTGTATGTTTTCCTCTCCTCTCTAAGCTCAACAATCTAAAGCCTATTTTCCTTGGCGCTATGAGGTCCTGTACCCACTCAAATTTAAAATTTTTCATTGTTATAGTCTATTGTCATTTAAATTACAATAATAAACTAAATTTTACTCACCATTCACAAATTGGAAATTTGTTTGGGTCTTTTCATTGAGAAAAATTTCAATGAACAGCAAGAAAGTGGTGCATTTTCACTAAAATAACAAAAAAAAACAGCACTAAACACGTCAAATCTAATGGGGTTTTCACTCTTTTCTATTCTCTGTATTACATTTTACAAAAACAATGTGCAAGCGATCAACTAACAAAAAGGAATATGCAAAAAAAACCGTTACATATTATCACTTCTCTTACACTGCTATTTCAATGAACACAGCTGTATGTACATACATAAATATGTACGTATGACATAGGCACACAACTATAGCATACACAAACCTACATACTTCTATGCGTTCACATATAGATATGTCACCCGCAAAAGTTACAAACATTGTTCTACAAAAACAACAAACGTCCCAAATAGCATCAGCAGCTTCACAAGTCAATATGGCAGATAAATATTCGATGCCCAAATTTGTAGAAAAGTACACAATATTTCATTCATGAACGCATGCGACTTTCAACAGGCAAACTTGCTTCATTCATAAAACAAGCACCATGACATCTCCCCGAGCATGCCTTTGCCTACAAGCGTCTTTTCGCTACGATGGCAAAAGCTAAAAATCATAAATTGAAAAATTTCTGATATTTGTATGAGAAGGAAAAAGTGACAACCCCGCAAATATAAGTATTCAAATATATTAGAATAAAATTGACAACATAGTTTATTTGTCCATTTTCAAAGTCAAGAAATGTGCCTAAGAAAATATTCAATATTCCTCTGATTTATGTCTACAGTGAATCCCGGTTAAATGGTGTTCCGTTTAAATGAAAATTATCCCTCTTAACTGCCCATATATTGCTGCATCTCGGGGTTTGTTTTTGAAATTCAAAGAAATTATTGTTTTAAGTACCACTCGCTTAAGTATCCGCACTCGCCTATGTGCCATATCATATTTTTATTTTTAACAAACCACAAAAATCTGTATCTTTGATTGTGGCWCATAACCGGGATTGACTGTATTTGTCAAGGAATGCAAAAAATATTTTTACGCGGCTTGCAAAAATCTGCGTCGATAAAAACGAGTTTAAAGTTTTGAAAACACTTTACATATAGTTAATTTTTTTCACTAATGTGTCTATAACTTCGAAAATATTCGTCGGATCGACTTGAAATTATATATATTATAGGTTGTCAAAAAAGTCTTACGGTATTTCTTGCGGTATTTTTATATAATTTTCAATTGTTCATAAAATTTTTTTTGCCCGTCTCTTTCGACCAATTCAGCGATTTTATCGCAATTTCCGACAACAGGCCTTCCGGAGCGTGGCGCATCWTCAACCACCTCTACACCAGAACGAAAACGTTGAAACCATCGTTGTGCGTTGGAAATGGAAATTGTATCGGGTCCATAAACTGCACAAATTTTATTGGCGGCTTGAGATGCATTTTTGCCTTTATCGTAATAGTACCTTAAAATATGCCGTATTTTCCCTTTATTTTGCTCCATGTTTGCGACGTTATAACTCACGAACGACTTAAAAGAAACGACAATCAATCAAACACGTGTTAGCGCGTGAAATAAGCTTTCCAAAAAAGTATAGCATGACTCGATACGACGAATAAAACTAGAACTACGCGCTCTCAGCACCAACTAGCGAAAATACCGCAAGACTTTTTTGACAAACTAATATTTAAAAAAAAAAATCGAAATCCTAACTGCATATAACCCCTTAAGTACAATATTACTAATTCCATGGAGGATGGAGTCATGTGTAGAAGTTCACGCAAGTGAGGTAAGTTCTCTGATCGCCATTCGCTTGGGAGTGCCAGCAACGGTTCCTTTACATATGGCTCATGCAGCCCCCGACCGGCCTTGGACCAAGTATCCCCTGGGTAGCCACAGAACATCCGTATGAAGGCGAGCTAAAGTGAGAAGGCGAACCATCCCTCTCCACGTTAAAAAAAAAATGTATACTAAACAACAGCCTCAAACGAGAGAATCCCATTTTAATGACGACTAGGGCAAACGCATTGAAATACATGCCCCTGGAATGTCCGGCGTCTTAATTGGGAAGGCTGACATCACCGCCTTCCAAGACGTGCGATGGACGACACAACGTCCTTGTGGTATTTACTACATTGCCCATATAAAAGGGTGCGAATTCGGTGTGGGATTCGTGGTAGGAGATATACTCCATCGGCAAGTTCTGGTATTCACCCCGGTGAGTGAACGTCTAGCCACAATCTACACCAAAACGAAGTTCTTCAACATATCGCTGATTTGCGTCCACGCCCGACGTAAGAGAAGGACGATGTGACCAAACATGCCTTCTATGAACGCTTGGAGCGCATCTATGAGAGCTGCCTTCATCACGATGTCAAAATCGTGCTTAGAGCCTTAAACGCCTGGGTAGACAAAAGAGGTATCTTTGGCAATACGGTTGGTAAATTCAGCCTCCATGATGAAACATCCCCAAATGGGTTGAAGCTGTTCGACTTCGCCATGTCCCGAATTATGGTTATCTGTAGTACTAGATTCCAGCATAGGTAAATTCATTAAGCTACCTGGCTGTCTTCGGATCGAAAAACCACCAACCTGATCTATCTTGTTGTGATAGACGGAAGGCAACTCTAAAGTGTTTAGGTCCTAACATCGACTCGGATCACTATCTTGTTGCAGCCCAAATTCACGCCCGCCTCTGTGCAGCAAAAAACGACACGTCAACAAACACAAGAAAGGTTCAACGTCGAGAAGCTGCAATCACAATAGACAGCCGGAAGAAGCAAAATAACATCTGGTACAGATTGCCTAATTAGCAACGTTACAATCAATCACAACACGTGCGGGATGGGATAGATAAAGAGAGTTAAAAAGGGAACCGAGAGGTAGTTGCATTCAGAAAAAGAGAGGAAGAAATGCGTGAGTATGAAGAGCTTGACAAGCTGGCCGACGAAGTATTACTCGAAAATTCTACGAAATGATGCGGCAACTGACAGAAGGTTTCAAGACCAGAGAATACTCTTGTATAACCCATGGAGGTGATCTGATTCCAATTGGTTGCTATAATCGCGATGCCGGTGTCTACGCCAGTAAAGAAGAAGAAGAAGCACAGGTGACGACACTGAATATGATCCCGAGACAAAGAGGCAATCTTCCAATCATTTTGAGACGAGAGAAGGGATCCATGCAGCATGCACCTCTGCACTTAAAGCTATTGCGGAGAATGCCTTTCGTGACGCCTTCAATGCTTATAAATCGCGCTTGCAGTGCTGCATCGAGGTAAAGGAGCCTATTTTGTAAGTTTTTAAAGGATTGTAACGATTGGTTCAATAAATTTTTTAAAACGACTCAGTCCTATTACTTTCCGGACAAACCAAATTTTACAATTTTCTTTTTATTTATCTTCAAACAAAAAAAATAGTTGCTCTTTAAACAGTTTATGAATTTTTTAAGTAATATTTACTTTTACTAATCGGTTTTGTGGAACATGTATTATATAAGAATTTACATTGTCTATTGATGCATTAATATGACTAAAAGTTAAATATACAATAGAATATTTTTTTTTGCTCTGACGACTTTCGCAAATAAAGATATTACGGTTAGTATTCAATGCAAGCATAACGGCAACGATAATATGGCTGCTAAATAACTAGAACTATATAAATAACTCAATTTTACTTTTATTTTAAAACAAAATCTTAATCAGTATTAAAAATCAAATCGGCTGTTATTTGCTTCATAAGCGACTTTCTCTTTTCGATATCTTGACTGTATCGTACTAAAGTCATTAACATCGATTTTCTTTGTTGTTCCATGTTGCGAATCCGAGACCGTTCTCTACAATTCACCGCCATTAAACTCTGAAATTCAGAAAAAAAATATTTATATGTATACAAAATTAGAATACTCGAGTTCAAACGTACAGGGACATTAAATACCAACTATTATTATAATGCAAAATTATTAATCCTCGTCGTTAATTTTGATAGGAATTGAGATGAAGTGTTTGAAAAATAAAACAGCCTTAATGAATAAAAAAAAAATGAACTAATTCTTGTGTCTGCTTAGTTAAACTTGTCCTTGGGGTATTAAATAGTTCAAAAAAAATATACTTCTAGTTTGCTGTGGTTAAATCAAAAGTCTTGAATAATACCCGAGACAGACATGTAGTAAAAATACCATAGTAAAGGTATCATGATATTCTGTTTATTACGTTGGTGACACACATGATGGCAATGTAGTAAACTCAAATACTAGCTGTTTCATAGGCATTAAATATTTAAAAAAAAATTGTAAACAATAAGTATGTTGTGTGTTATGGAGAAAATAAGTTCAATTATTTAAAATACTCTAAAGTTAATCTATTTTCATCGCAAAAAAGCGATTTGGTTAAAGTTTCTATAAAGTTATCATATTAAATGAGGCATTTCCTGCTTTTCCGGAAGAAAAATTGTGAAAAGTATTTCGTTTTCCATTTCAATAATTAATTTTTTAAGTCATTTTGACAGAATATTTCGAAGAGCTTTTGTGTAAAAGCTTTTGGCAAAGTTTTTTACCAGCAAAATACTACATTGCTCCTATGGTATTTTGTTAGGATTTGTTGACACACATATGGTATTTGTACCATATATGATATTGTTACTACATTTCTGTTTCGCCATGTTTTTACTCTGAAGCCATTTTTCAGGTATTGATTTCCTTTCTTTTTACCAGATTTTTTTAATTAAGGTATGATTATCAGCAATACCTTTAGTTGTTCATTTTGATAATTCAGTTGTTTTTCAAGGTAGCGCAATCTGGTTTCCTTAAAACGCATTCGTAGAGGCAAAGTCCTCTGTAAAGGTTTCATTAGACGGACGTTCCTGAAATGGGCAATAGTACAAATATCATAAAAAAAATACTTGACCAAATTTATTGTTATTCAAATGTATGTACCACGAGCTTCCTTTAAATTTGTTACATTGCTCTTTTAGCATTTCCAATTCAGCTACTCGATCCGTAACATCATATTCCTCCCAAAATCGATCTAAGGAATCCTTCAGAGATTGCATCAACTGTGCTCTCATTTCACAAATTAATTCATCTTGATTTTGAACCACATGCTTTTGATGCTCCATTAGCACTTCAGCGAACCCGTCCAATTGTGAAGGTCTATATAAAAGTTATGTTATTAATAAAATATCGTATTTGAGTTTAATTATACATATCTCTAACATATGTATTTCAAATGTGACAAAAAGTATATACAAGAAGTTCAAAAAAAGTTTGTTGCATTTATAACACCCATTTTTGTTTTTTTTTTATTCATTAAAGGATATTAAATATGTATTTTTATGAAAAATAAAAGTGATTAAATTCTCGACAAGAACTTACTCCTGTTATAAAAATCAATTCAACCGATTTCAAGGTATGTTTTGTTTTCTTCGAAAAGTTTAACCATTATTTATTTCGTTTTTTTTTTTTACCAAGATTCGATATTCTATATTTAATAACAAACGTTCTACTGTAAAGCATCGAAAAGGTATGACTACAATATTTATACATCGTGCGTTGTATAATTTGACGTTACAGAATATTTTCACTGCAATGCACAAAATCCAAGAGTTTCATTAAAAATTATTTCTTTACTTTCATCGGAAATGGAAGCACAAACATCATTTAAATATTCATGAAGATATATTGTATATATGTACATATAGTATAATATTTTTAGCCAAAATCTTTGAATTTAATCTAAAATTTAGTATAAATGTATATCTAAATGTAAAAGTATCAACTTTAATTGGGATTTCTCTGTCACTGCGCATCTACTACCAGGTGCATCCTTAACATATAATATAATGTAACAAATATCCCGGATGCATTGCAGAACATTATACTTTGTTCGTATGTATTACAATTGACGTTTTCAAAGTTAGTCGTTGACTCGATTTTATCAATTTTTCACTGTATATTATTAACAAAAAAAGATGACATGTGAGTTTCTTTAAGGTATCTCACATATCATCAACAACGGATAAGGAGTAAAGTCAACCGGATGTCTGAAAATTATAATATTAGTTATATGGGAGATAATGCAAGTTTTTACCCTATTTGATTCATTTTAGTCACAAAGATGCACTGTTAAGAGAAAACACGCTTACTCAATTTAATATTGGTGGGTATGTGGAGTATAAAGTTGACGGAAGATAGACAAATATTCTATTAGGTATTTGGGCGCTAAGTGAAATATTGACCCGATTCAATCCAGTCAGTCTGGGCTCTTGACATTCAGTCTAGGCTCTTGATATTCGACTAACTTAATTAACCGGTTAGGGTATTATTCGAGTAATAATATTCCGTTTGCAGAATCTGTCATTTTCGACTATCCGGTTACGTGTTCGTTGTCGACTACTCGAATAATAAGCGTTAAATTTTTACTAATTCTTTGCGTATGTATATAAGTTTATAAAAACTTTGCAGTATATACCCGCACAATTGGCGTTTTCACACATTTAAAACAATCAAAAATCAAATGTTTCAAACAATTTTCATTTATTGAACTACTCGGACCAGAGCAACTATTCGAATAAAAACTAAATAAAGTATTAATCAGTACGAGTGCAGCTATCGCTAAGACTACAACCAAAAACAAAATTTAAAATTAAAAAAATGTCTTGGTCAGATTTTGAAAACCGCTATTTTTGGATCAGTTTTAGATCGAAAAAATATCGAAGTTCTAAAAATTAAAATTTGATCGTAGTCCCAACAATAGATATTAATCTCATAAACACCGTATTAAAATTTCAAGTGATTCGGATGGATAGTCATCAACGGCATGCCGAAAAAAGTAGTTTTGAAATAAATGAGTTTAAAGTTTAGAGTGTCTATATTTTAGATACCTGCGCTATGTGCTAAAACGGCTGTAGAAGCTAAAATAATGTGAATATGAAGGATATTACATCCATTATATACATATATATAATGTAAATATATTCTTAAAGGACTATACTTTCGAACTATAAAAAAAAATCGATTTTTTGAAAATTTTAGACAAGATCCCTTAAACCAGAGGTACCCCTCATAGCAATTTATAGGTTTCGATTAATGACGTTTTGTGAGCGTGGCAGTGGTCCGATTACGCCCATCTACCAAATCGTTTTTACTTTTTTGCAAAAAAATATGTGTACCGAGTTTCATATATTCTTAAATTTTACTCAAGTTACAGCTAGCACGAAGGAAAAGACAACTACCACTCGTCTCGTCATTCTGATATATACATATATACAAACAAATAGTTTTTTCGGCAAAATCAATTTAATTTATTTAAAATAGAATCCTTCTGCTTCAATACATCTTTTTGCACGGTCCAAAAGCATGTCGAACGAGTGTTTTAGCTCGCTGGCCGTTATGGCCGCCAGTATGCCGGTGCAAGCCTTTTGAATGGCCTTTACGTCTGCATAACACTTTCATTTCATGGGCAAATGTATTTTTCTGAAAAGGAAAAAGTCGCACGTGGCATATCAGGTGAATACGGAGAGTGGTTAATGGTTAAAATGTGATTTTTGGTAAAATAATCGGTCACAAGCGTGTTGGATTCAGAGCAATTTTTAGTCATCAGTCAATTTGTGCAGAACAAACCGTGCACACACCTTTCTTTGTTCAATTCCATTTCCATGAATTTCAATGACAATTTCGACGGATTTTTGATGAATTCACGCACAGTTTCGATGGATTTTCCGGTGATCACGGATTTTGATTGGCCCACATGTTGATCGTCATTTATGTGCTCTCGACCGCTTTGAAAACGTTGAACGCACCCGTGCACTATGCTACGGGATATGCAATCATCGTCACCGTTAACTTGTTTCATCAATCGAAACGTTTCGATAAAAGTTTTACCAATTTTAAAACAAAATTTAATGTTGGCTCTTTGTTCGAAGCTCCTTTTCGCACCGATAACACAAACATACTGACACTTAAAACGCAATAACTTCACTTCCAATCAATGAAATGTCATGAAGTTCTCACTGGACAATCGTTAAAGATTGCAGATTCTAACGCATCAGTCGACTTATAGATGGCGCTAGGTTCAAAAGTTATGGAACACACCTTGTATAACCCTATCTATCTCGATTAGTTTTAGGTGATACATAAAACCGTTACATGAACAAAAATATGAAGTATATACAAATTTATATAGGAACTTAAATTTTTAGGAAATAGTTGAAAGACTGAAAAAATGGTTGCAGAAAATAATAAGTACATCATGTATATGTGAAGAAATGTATTAGTTTCGGTTTTCTGAGGCCTATTTGATTCTTGCTTATTTCTTTCTTCAGTATCAATTACTTTTGAAATTTGTTTTGGCATGCTGGAGATAAGTTTGCGGCACGCATCATTCTCGAACAAATGTGTTTTTGTTGTATCACTTCACAAGATATTGTGGCACATTTTTTCGCGACCTAAGCCGAATCAATTTCCATGATTTTTCGCGAATTGTAATATTATCTTTAATTTTTTTTGCAAGAATTAAGCTTTTTTTCGTGTAATCCTGGTAGAAAGATTAGATGAATAAATAATTATTGCACCGCGACTTAAGGTCTATTGAGCCCTCTCCTAAGACACGACTTACTTAGCCCCAGCATATTAATAAATTCGACAACACTGCCAGGTGCTATTGAGGCGATGTGATCCCTATTTGGAAACATGCATACAAAGGCCTTTATCCGGAGCCTACAGACTGCTATGGAGTCAAGTAGCAGGTGTTTTGGAGTTTCAGGATCCATGTCGCAGAACCGGGTATTCGCACAAAAAGTTGGGCGCATTTTATGTAAGTGCTTCTTGAGATTGCAAAAGCTAGTGTAGAAGGCAACAAGAAGCCTGAGTTTGTCCGTTAGGATGTTCATTACATAATTACACCTTTAAGGTTGTAACCACGCATTGGCGTGGGTATGCCATGCAGTAGTTACCAACGCAACTCCCACCCACCCCTTCATTCTTGCGGAACCGTCTTCTAGGAACATCAAGAGATCATTACTCAATGTAATGACAATGACGCAGTACGCCGAACAGACTTCGGACTTAACTAACTTCCGACAAGCACTGACCATATTCGGCAAGATAAACAATAGCGATTTTGAATCCAACTCAATGGTTTGCTTAAAAAATATTTATTAAAATGTAAGTATTTAATAAAAACCGGTCCCATAATTGGGAAGGTGCCGCTGCCCAGCAGGTTGATGTCCTCGTAAAAATAAAGGCTGATATCACCGCCGTCATATAAAGGAGCGGAAGTTTGGTGTGGGATTTGTGGTGGGAGAGACTGGTGAATGAATGTCTAGCCACAATCCGCATCAAAGCGAGGTTCTTCAACATATCGCTGTTTTGCTCCCATGCTCCGACGGAAGATAAGGACGATGTGACCAAAGATGCCTTTTATGAGTGCTTGGAGCGCACTTATGAGAGCTGTCCCCGTCACGATGTCAAAATCGTGCTTGGCGACTTTAACGACAGGGTGGGCAAAGAATGTATCTTTGGCACTACGGTCGGTAAATTCAGCCTCCACGAGGAAACATCCCCAAATGGGTTGATGCTGATCGACTTCTCCGGGGCCCGAAATATGGTTATCTGTAGTACTAGATTCCAGCATAAGAAGATACATCAAGCTACCTGACTGTCTCCGGATCGAAAAACCACCAACCAGTTGATCATGTTGTGATAGACGGAGGACACGTCTCCGGTGTTTTAGATGTGCGTGCGCTCCGAGGTCCTAAGATCGACTCGGACCACTATTTTGTTGCAGCCAAGATTCGCACCCGCCTTTGTGCAGCAAAAAAAGCACGCCAACAAATGCAAGGAAGGATCGAAGTCGAGAAGCTGCTATCACAACAGACAGCCGAACGATTTTCTACTCGGCTTGCACTCCTGCTTTCTGAGAGCACTCGTCAACAACTCGGTATAAGGGAACTGTGGGACGGCATTTCAAACTCCGTACGTACAGCTGCAATCGGAACCATTGGTTTTCGGAAGCTGGTACGACGAGGAGTGCCGTGTCGCAGCGGAGAGAAAACATGCTGCCTACCTCGCAACGTTACGGTCGACCACAACATGTGGTGTTGGTCCGGATGGGATAGATTCCGAGAGTTGAAGAGGGAAGCGAGGCACATTTTCAGACAGAAAAAGAAAGAGGCCGAAATGCGTGAGTGCGAAGAGCTTGATAAGCTGGCCGACAGGGGTAATGCTCGACAATTCTACGAAAAAATGCGGCGACTTACAGAATGTTTCAAGACCGGAGAATACTCTTGTATAACCCACGGAGGTGATCTAGTAACCGAAGCCCAGAGCATACTGAAATTACGGAGGGAACACTTCTCCAGCCTGCTGAATGGCAGTTAACGCACAACGCCAGCAGAAGGCGAACCCGATTCCCCAATCGAGGACGATGGAACAGACGTTCCAGTGCCCGACCATGAAGAAGTTCGAATAGCAATTACCCGCCTAAAGAACAACAAAGCGGCTGAGGCCGATGGATTGCCGGCCGAGC